CTCTTTTGATGCATCACCATCTTCAATGGCCATGAGACACAAGTTGGCCACTTCTTCCGTTTCCGAGTCTTCACTCCCGGAGCCGTCGTTCTCCCAAGAAATGTAGGCACGCTGCTTCTTCGGTGCCTTCTTGTCCTTCTCGTTCTTGAGCTTTGGGCACATTGGTTTGATGTGTCCAATTTCACCACACCCATAGCATTTGGGTGGAGTGTTCTTCTTGGCTCCCTTCTTGAGCATCATCTTCTTGAATTTTCGGACAAAGAGTCTGAGGTCGGTGTCGTTGCTGTCATCATCTTCATCATCAACGTTGTTGTGGGTTGATGTTGTTGCGGGTAGAGCAATAGACCTTTTGTTCCTCTTTTCAACCACCTTTGAGAGTTGGGTGGTTTCATAGGTAATAAGATTACCTCAAAGAGCATCATAGGTCGTTGTTTGGAAGTCACGACCTTCTTCGATTGCGTCCACCTTTGAACGCCATTTAGGAGATAGGCTTCGCAGCACCTTTCTCACGAGCTCTCGGTCGGTGTATGTCTTCCCGAGAAGATTTAGGGGATTGATGATGTTAGAGAATCTCTCAAACATTTCCTCAATCTTTTCTTTTTCCATCATTGAAAAGAGTTCATACTCGTGAGTGAGATGGTCAATTTTGGCCTCCCGAACCTGCGCGGTTCCTTCGTAGGTGACCTCCAATTTATCCCACATTTGTTTTGCGGTTTCACACCGCGAGATTTTGCGGTAGTCATCCGCGTTAATACCGCAATAAATCATGTTTATTGCCTTGGCGTTGAGCTCCATCTTTTTGCAATCTTCGTCGGTGAACTCTTCTTCGGTTTTGGGAACATTGACTTCACCGACTTTCTTCATCGGGACTCCACAGCCGTTCTTCACAATCAACCACAGCTTGTAGTCGTTGGATTGGATAAAGATTCTCATTCTCTCCTTCCAATACGAGTAGTTGGTTCCATCGAACAATGGTGGCCTCGTGGTTGATTGTCCCTCGTTTACTCCTGCGTTGAACATTCTTGATGCCATTTGATCTTTTGGTTCCTAAAAAATAACGTATTCGAAGAACTTCCTGCTCCGATACCAATTGTTAGACAAATGTGCAATTCTAGAGGGGGGGTGAATAGAGTTGTTTTCAAGAATGTGCGTTTTTCGCGTGTGTGAAATAATAGAATCGCAGAAATAAATAAAGAGAGTAAGGGAAAGAAGAACACCGAGATTTATACTGGTTCACCACCTCGTGGCTAATCCAGTCTTCCGAGAGACTCTCTCGAAAGTCCTACTAATCTTCAAGCTTCAACGGGTGCTTGAAAAACCGGTACAACTTG